TGAAGTAGTGGCTAAATGGCATGCGTTCTTTTCTAGGAAGCAGCGAGAGGAGGAAACGCTGTTGCAGTTTTCCCTAGCTTTGATGGCCCTTATGGAACCAGTAAAGCAGAATGCTCCAGACGGGTTGCTGAATGCTGAGATTCTGCTGTGTGATCAGTTTGTGGAACATGTGTTGAATAGTGCTCTCCGCCGGGAACGTAAACAGTATGTTCGGGGTCATCCCGCTGCCACCTTGCTGGAGGTGCGTGGGGAGGCGATTCGGTGGGAAAGGCAGGGGTTTCCAGGTGGTGCCAGGGAGCGTAGTCATTCCCTCCCATCCACATATGGGCTGCAGTATGGGGTGCATGGTAGCTCTCGGCTAGCTCCATCTACTGCTGCCCGCTCTGAGTTTAGTGAACTAAGGGATCTTTTAAAACAGCAACAGGAACAGATTAATCAACTTACACAGTGCCTTGCTTCTCTGCAAACTTCCTTACCACGGGCGCGGCCTCCTCGTCCGGGTTCGGTGGTCTGCCACAGATGCCAACAGCCAGGTCACTTTGCCAGAGAGTGTGATGGCGAGGGTTTGTGCCCGGGTTAACTCTGTGGCTGGGCCAGCTGATAACCAGGCGGAAAACTAGCACCCACTGAGTTGTTGAGCCACAACTCAGGTGGGGGAATAGCAGGCTCGCAAACAGCAGCCGCGTCAAAATTGTTGGCATCTTGACCAGTCATTGATGTTATGGGTGGTGTTCCTATTACTTGCTTAGTGGATACAGGCTCTATGGTGTCTACTATTCCTGAGAGTTGTTTTCAGGAGCATTTTGCATCCCAGGGGCATGATCGCCTTCAGTCATGTCATTGGTTGCAGCTCCGAGCAGCCAATGGTCTTTCTATCCCATACATTGGCTATTTAGAACTGGATGTCAATCTTTGTGACAAGTTGCTTCCACGCTGTGGGATTCTGGTTGTAAAGGATACTATTAATTCTGGTTCTTCTGTTCCTGGTATTTTGGGAATGAACTTAATTAATCGTATTTATCAAGAACTTTTTGGAGTACATGGTGGCTCTTTTCTTGACTTGCCTTCAGTAATGCAGTCTCCTGGTCCGGTTGTGGAGGCTCTGCAGCAGTGTCACCAAGCGGCAACCAAGTCCCCAGTACGAGTGACTGGCGCTGTTAGGGTTCGGGGCCCTCAAGCAGTAAGGATAACTGGTGGGGTTATGCAATTTGTAGCCGCAACCTGCCCTTAACAACTTGCCGGCCAAGATTTATTGTTTGAGCCTTCAGAGTCCGGTTTACCCGCTGGCTTGTTGGCCTCCCCATGTCTCATTCAGGTCGTGCGCGGTACTGCTTATGTTCCTGTTCTGAATTTGGCACCACTGATATTGTACTCTATCCCCGAACTCACCTTGGTGTGTTGAGTCGGACGGAAGTGGTTAGCCTGCACCCTGGTGTGACAGAAATCAGGCCTGGCGCTATACGGTTTCTTCTCATGTTGCTGGCGTGATCGAATCTGCTTATTTGTCTGCATTGACTGAAACTGAACAACGGCAGGTTCAGTCTCTTTTACAAAAGTATAGCTCTGTCTTTTCAGCTCATGAAGGTGACTTGGGGTGCACTAATCTGGTTTCCCACAACATCCCCCTGATGGATGAGGTTCCGGTTCGGCAGAGGTACAGGCGCATTCCCCCCTCAGAGTACGAGGCTGTCAAGTCACATATCAACCAGCTCCTACAGAACCAGGTAATAAGGGAAAGTAGCAGCCCTTACGCCTCTCCCATTGTTCTTGTTAGGAAGAAAGATGGCAGCCTGCGTATGTGTGTGGATTACCGTCAGCTTAATAGCAAGACGAGAAAAGATGCTTTCCCATTACCTCGCATTGAGGAAAGCTTGGACCATCTTTCAGGGGCCCAGTGGTTTTCCACACTAGATTTAGCCAGTGGGTACAATCAGGTTCCTGTAGCGGAACAGGATAAGTTAAACTGCTTTTTGTACTCCATTTGGACTCTTTGAGTGGAATAGAATGCCCTTTGGGCTTTGTAATGAGCCAAGTACCTTCCAGCGCCTCATGCAGAGGATGTTTGGGGACCAGCAGTATCAGTCTCTTCTTTTGTATTTAAATGATATCATTGTGTTTTCAGGCTCAGTTTCCCAGCATATAGAGCGTCTGGAAGCAGTTCTCGCTCGGCTTCAGAGAGAAGGTCTGAAGGTAAAACTTGAAAAATGTTCATTTTTCAAGTGCCAGGTTAAGTACTTGGGGCACCTCATCTCCGATAAGGGTGTAGCTACAGACCCGACCAAGACTGAAGTAGTGGCTAAATGGCCACGTCCTACACATACTTCTGAGCTTCGTTCATTCTTGGGCTTCGCAAGCTATTATAGGCGCTTTGCGGAGGGTTTTGCTAAGTTAGCGGGTCCTCTCCATAGGTTGGTGGCACAACAAGGGGGCACAAAGTCCAGGAAGGGGTCTAGTCAAGCTTTCCAATCTGCCTGGACACCAGAGTGTGAGGACAGTTTTGAAGCTTTAAAAGCTAAATTAAACATCTGCACCAGTGTTGACATATGCTGATTTTTCACGTCCTTTTATTTTAGAGACGGATGCTAGTCACAGTGGGCTTGGGGCAGTACTGTCACAGGAAACAGAGGAGGGAGTGAGGCCCATTGCATATGCTAGTCGAGGTCTTAAACTTTCAGAGCGTAACATGACTAATTATAGCTCTATGAAGTTGGAGTTGCTGGCATTAAAATGGGCCATGACTGAGAAGTTTAGGGAATATCTCTTGGGCCACCAGTGCATGGTGTATACAGATAACAACCCCTTGAGTTATCTTAATTCAGCTAAGCTTGGTGCCATGGAGCACCGCTGGGCTGCCCAACTTGCTGCTTTTGATTTTGAGATAAAGTATCGTTCTGGACGCAGTAATAGCAATGCTGATGCGCTCTCGTCAGCCAGCCTCGGGTACTAGCTTGGCACAGTCATTGTGTACCTCTGTTCCAGAGGCTCTTCAGTGTGCCCCATGCCCTGTTCCGGTACCGGTAACTCAATCTGTTGTGACTGTTTTGCCATCTCACTCTGTGTCTGACCTTTGTGCTTTGCAGGAAGCTGACCCTGTCTTGAAGGACATTTTGGGTTTTTGGAAGAGGCAGGTTTATCCTACTTTGAAGAAAGGAAGCAGTTTCCCAAACTATCCCTGGCTCTTTTAAAACAGTGGGGTCGTTTTGTGGAGAGAGATGGTGTGGTGTACCGTCAAGTCCATCGGTCAGATGGTGGTGAGGAAATTTTACAGCTTGTCTTGCCATCAGTTCTAAAGCAGGATGTTCTGACTCAATTACATCAGGAACATGGACACCAGGGTGTTGAGCGCACCACCGAGTTGGTGAGGCAGCGCTGCTACTGGCCGGGTATGTCTAATGATATTAAACAGTGGGTACAAGAGTGTCAAAGGTGCCAAGTCGCTGAAAACGTACCTTCTGGTTCTGGCACTTTCATGAGCCATCTGTTGGCTTCTCAACCTAATGAGATTGTTGCCATGGATTTTACTCTGCTAGAGCCTTCACGAAACGGTTGGGAGAATGTTCTTGTAATTACTGATGTATTTAGCAAATACACCATTGCTGTTCCGACTCGAGATCAGAAAGCAGCTACTGTCGCTCAGGTTTTACTGACTGAATGGTTTTTTAGATTTGGAATTCCAAGCCGCATTCATTCAGACCAGGGTCGGAGTTTTGAGAGTGCTTTAATTCAGCAGCTCTGTGACCTGTACGGGGTTAAAAAGTCACGCACGACCCCTTACCACCCTGCTGGAAATGGGCAGTGTGAACGCTTTAATAGAACACTTCATAATCTGCTGCGCACTTTACCCATGTCTAGGAAGAGGGATTGGGCTTCCTGTCTTCCACAAGTGCTCTTTTGTTACAACACTACCCCTCATCAGAGTACTGGAGCGTCTCCGTTTCTTCTTATGTTTAGCCGCGAACCTCAGCTGCCTGTGGACTTTTTGTTGGGTCGTGTTCAGGATCCTGTACCAGGTCAGGTGGAGGATTGGATAGCAGAGCATAAGACCAGGTTGACTATGGCTTTCCATCATGCTCAGGCTCACTTGTTGGCTGCTGCAGGGCGTAGAAAAGAGTGTCATGATCAGGGCATAAGGGAGTCGCCATTACAGGAGGGACAGTTGGTTTATTTGCGTGATCATAGTGTTGGAGGTCGCCATAAAATCCAGGACCTTTTTGACCCGGTTATTCATCAGGTTGTGAGAGCGCCAACAGCTGGAGGGCCAGTCTATACTGTGGCTCCTGTAAATGACTTGCGGAAAACTCGAAATGTTCATCGTGACATGTTGACGGTTCGGGTGGGCCAGACCCCGCACCTGTACCCGTGCTGTTAAAACCTGCCTCGCTTACAAGGGGGTCAGATGACTCTTTGGAGGAGGATTTGTTCTTGTTGCTACCTGATGCTTCCCTACCATCCACCTCTGCAGCTCAAGGGTTGCCTTCACAGGTCACTTCAGGTCACCCTGTTCAAACTTTGGAGAGAGTTAACCTTCCCTCGCATCGTACTGTCCGTTCAACGGCTGGACAGCATTCGAATGTCCATCACCTTCCTCGACCTGTGGGTCAGGCTGCGGGATCTGGTCAGCCAGTCTCCAATGCACAGTTTGCCATTTTTCGTCCTTGGTGTTAAAGTGTGCAGCCCATCGTCGGGGCGACGATGCAAAACTAGGGGGTGGAATGTGGTGGGATGGTGTTTCACCATCCTCACTCTGCATACCAGGTGCAACAAGAAGTGCACCGTTGATTGGTGGGCGGGGCAGGTGCCTTATAGCCAGGCAGGCCGCTGCAAGGTGCGTGTGTCTTTGTCTCCTCTGCTACATGCTGGCTGACTGAGTGGCCTGTGGTTTTGATCGGCTTACTGGAAATCGTAAGTGCCATTTGTACCATCTGGCTGGGATTGTGGTTTGGTTCTGGTGCTATACCTGCCGTGTTTCTGCAGCATTGTTTGCTGGCGTGGCATTGGGTTGCAGCTGGAGATTGTTGCGGCGTGTGGCTTCCATCTAGTCCTCACTTGTTGGTCCGCTTCCTCTCCGGGAAACTGTGCTTCCACTCCTGGGTAAGCTACCTGCCATTTTCATTTTTACTTACTTTTCCTAGATCCAGTAATGTATTTCCTGTTTTAGGCACCAATTGCTGTGGGCATTGCAGCGCTTTGGACGCTCTGCTGTCTTGTCCTGTCAGTGTGGCGTGAGCAGTTCAGAACGGAACCTGCTGCTATTTTGGATATGTGGGCGTGACTCCTTCGGTCCTGTTGTGAGCGGCTTCTGAAATCGGACATCAGCAATTATTCCATTGTTTGAAGTGTTTGTTTGCAGTCTGTGCTTATTTGTTATTGGATTTATTATTCTTTTGTTTTCTTTTTTTGCATGGCATGTTTTTCATTTATTTCTTTTGGAATGATTTAATTTGTCTTTATTTCAGAGAATCCCTTCCCCTTCCAGGGACCAAGTAGTACGCCTGAAATGTGTTTTTAAAAAAAGAGAGGTGTTTTAAAGAAATTGTTTAATAAACTATTATGTTTTAATCAGTGTTCTGGTGCGTCCTATAAATAAAAGGAACCCCGCCCCTCGGTCGGGTCACAAATGCTTGTAAAACATTTTTAAAACTGTGGATATCCTCACAATGAGACAGATAAACAGGAATAGCTTCCCTGAATCAAATGCATTTCAGCTGAGGATGGTTTTATTAACTTGTCATCTCAAACTGTGCTCAGCAGGAGTGTGTTTAAAAATAAATTATCAGTCTTTAACTTCAGTTTTATTTTAATCATAATTAATATATTTTACATGCATGAAAAGCCATTAAAATAGAAATGTCAGTGCATTCAGTCTTACTAAAAGGAACTTTTCTTGATTTTCTAAAACCATGAAGCCGTTTACATCAACTATATTTCACACCCCAGTCTCTGTCAACATGTTCAAAACTAGTTGTCTTATTAAGTTTCTGATAGTAGCAAATCTGATACAATGCTAAAAATGAGCTAAACCGCAATCATAATTCTGATTAAAGTATGCATGTGAATTTACTGAAGCGTGGTATCAGTGAGTTGAGTAATGAGAATTTTTTTCTTCTACTGCATTATCTAAATGAGACACTCGTGCAAAAGAGCCTTTGCGTCTTGTGCCTGTAAGGCGCTATTTTTTAACAGGCACAATTAACTGTTCTTAAAAGCATTACTTTGCAAGTGAGTGAAAACGTTCTTGTATGACTGAACTAAAAGCTGTAAATTTTAAAACAAATGGACCCTCTACAAAGTAGGCCACCCCAATCAGCTGCTAGCCAACAATAATAGCATTGGTTTTAGCTAAGCTATCAATATAATGCCCTAAATCAGTGCTACTTTGCTACTAATTGTCAACACTGCTACAACCAGATAACAAGGTCAGGAAATGGTAATTCAGAAAAAAATGGAGGGAAAGTGGTTCAGTTATTCTTGCTTGACTTTGACAACCATAACATCTATATGATGAGTAATTCGGTGTGTTTCAGTTCAGTTACAAAGTGAAAAAGGCAACCTAAACAGAAGAGCAGGTGTTTAAATGAGCTAATCAACCACAGCTGTGCTAGCTGAGCTATTAGCAGCAGTAGCTAATCTACCACAACTGTGTTAGCTGAGCTATTAGCAGCGGTAGCTAACTACTACAGATGTGTTAGCTGAGCTATTAGCAGCGGTAGCTAACTACTACAGATGTGTCAGCTGACCTATTAGCAGCGGTCGCTAATCTACCACAACTGTGTCAGCTGACCTATTAGCAGCAGTAGCTAATCTACCACAACTGTGTTAGCTGAGTTAGCCACCACACATCTGTGGTAGCTAACTACCACGACTGTGTTAGCTGAGCTCTTAGCAGCGGTCCCTAATCTACCACAACTGTGTTGGCTGAATTAATAGCAGCGGCAGCTAACCTATCACACCGATCACTTATTAATAAGCGCAGAACAAACGTTTAGCCTCAACACATTAAACTGTAACGGACTGAATGTTCTGTTCAGTGGGAAATGTTTCCGTGTTTTTTGTGGTGCTGGAGGTGCGATGGATCCTGAAACATAACCGTTGTGGCAGTTGCTATGGCAACGAGCCCGCGTGCAGCGCAGCCGACACCAAAAAATGGTTTTCAGTTGTTTTAAGGATTTTTCTGTTATTTTTTTCTCTTTTTCTATGTTAATAGAAAAGGAAACTAAGTTAATAATATCTGCATCTCCAGGTTTCACTTAGTTAACTGAATCGTTATACCACGGCAGCGCTATGTAAAAAAAATAAAAACGTTTTTTGGTGATTTTTTTTTTCCGCCCAGCGTTTTGCGCATGCGCTAAATATCCGGCTGTAAATGATATCTTGCAAGAGCTTCATAGCACTTTCAAAACAATCAGTTTGAGTAATGTTGTAGTTTTGGCCATAATAAATTTACCAAAGGAAAACTCTCGGTCTTCTGTCCTTTAACTACACCCTCAGTGCTGAAAAGGTCATGAGGCCACACCGAGCCATTCTGCCGCCATTTCTTTCTCAGGCATTTATTCAATCTTCATCAGGCCACCAGGATGAGCCCAGGGAGGCTTTCATCTAGTGGAGTAGACTAACAATGAATGGATCAATATCTGTGAGCATACAACAGTACCTTTGGGTAAACTATTCTTTCTGTTGGCAAAAGAAAGAAAAATTAAAGCTGCAAGCAGCCTCGAACAGCCCTCGCAGCCAAGCGCCGCTCCGGCCTATTGCCACCGCGCGGGGTACGAGCAACCACCGCCTCACGCCAGCCACCACAGAAGCTCTCACGCAGTTTTCAGCGCCTCCGCCCGCACCGCGGAAGCTGTTGCTCAGTTTCCATCAACGCTGCGCACGTCCTAAGACAGAAGTTGTTGCGCAGTTTCCGCGCCCGTCCACCAGGCAGTACGCATCCATGCGTTCGGCGGCGATCTTTCACGATGCAAAAAAATGTGGTATAGATTCATTGGTTTAGCGAGGAAATATAGCTGGCGCATTAATGTAGGGGGCGCAGTGTAGTCAAAATACATTTCAATGCTGTTTTTCTCTTTAGAGGTCAACAAAGGTCATACGTATCCAATTTGTCGGCAGTCCGATGATCCACGTGTCATTTAGAGCCGATCATATGCACTCCAGGGATGGAGTACCTGCCTCCTGCTGGCGCAATACTGGTATTGCACTAGCAGTACCAGTATTTCGTCACAAGGTGCCAGTGGTACTCCATCTACACTGATCCCAGTGTCTTACTTCGCTGTCATAAGTTTTGCTGAATGACTTTCTTTGTATTATTTCTAGCAAAAATGAATGAATGTTTGTACTGTAACCCACAAAATAAACTTATATATATATAAAAAAACTTATAATAATGTATATTTAAATAATTAATAACATAACCTATGCGCTGCTGTTTTCTAGGGGGCGCTAGAGAGAAATTAGGCCACGCCCACCAAATATTGTGATGGATTCCTGTCGGGGAGTTGATGGGAATCCATTCTTGTGAGTTTGGAGCAGCTGGGCCTGAAAATGTGGAATTTAGAGCCAAACGTATGGCGATGGCGTTACAGGTCACTTCGCCACGCCGCCACGCCCTGCTCCATCATAGCTGGTCGGGGTTGGAATCTTCAATACACCAACATGTTTTCTGTGTCTGGGCACAGTTTCATGTTGATGAGGTCAAAGGGGTCAGATAGCGACCATTCTCAGTAAAACATGACACTTCCTGTTCTCAGGGGGCGTGGTCTAAGTGATGTCATCATTCGACCATAGGGTATTGTAGGACACCCGATGATAAATCACAGAAACTTTGGTGCCTCTGTGAATTTCTGTGTAGGAGATATAGCAGTTTATTTTTTTATGGCGTGTAGGTGAACTTTGACCCCTGCAAACCCCCCTTCAGCATACTCAAAAACTCACGGTTTTGATAACTTTAGATGAGACATGCCTTATGAACAGACTGACCGAGTTTGAAGCCGATCAATCAAAATCCCTAGGAGGAGTTTGATCAAATACGAAGGCTGTAAACGGCAAAAATGGCCTCAAAATTGGACCTTCAATCCAAAATGGCCGACTTCCTGTGATACTTGCACTATGACATTAATTGTAAATTTTGAGCGTCTTGGGGAGCTTTACAAGTGTACCAAATTTTATGTCTCTATGATGAAGTAAGTGAATAGCAAAGGGTCTTTTGAAAATTTGTAGGTGGCGCTATTGAGCCATTCTTATGGGATTTTTGCGATGACCTTAAATAATAAGAAACAGTACAGAAACAATAGGCCTTCGCAGCTTAGCTGCTCGGGCCTAATAACTAGAGAAAGCAACACTTCAGAGGACCAGGGGTGACATTTTAAAAGTCCTTGTAGTCTTGTTAGACAGGTGTGGCAGTTCTGCAGGATGGTGAAGAAATAAACTCCCTTGTGGCTGCAAAGACAGACTAAGGCACTGCTGGATGAAGCAAAGGGTCTTTTGATAACGCCTTGCCAAAGAAGTGCTTTACTGTCATTGTGGACTGTCCACCTCAGGCTGCAGTTTTAAAATGAGTCAAAACTAAAGTACAGACATCAAAATAGTATAATATAGGGTATTCTGATTCCTTGTGTCCAGGGCTGTAATTAATAAGGAACATAGATTTACAGAAATTGTCCAAAAGGCTCACTAACGTAGACCAAACTGCATAATGTAACTTAGAAGTTTATTTATGAGAATGGCCCACAGCATATGGTTCTTATTCAGACTCAAAATAAGACCATTTGTTGAAAGAACAACATACTCAGAGCATAATAAGCCAAACTGTTAAAAAGAAACATGTAGATTGAATTATTTATTTGAATTTTTAAATCTATTTGTAATATTTTTTGAGAAATTGTTAAATGAAAAACTGACAAAATGTGTCAGGTTTTTTTTATCATCATTGGTTAATCATCAAAATAATCTATAGGATAATCAATAATACAAGTTGAAGAGATTTATCCCTATTGGTGAGTAATCAGAGCTGTGGTTGATTTCCCAAAATCGCATTAATTTATTTTCTTAAGCTAAATTTGACAACAAAAATGTACTTTGCAGACCAAATAAAAATTTAAGTTCATGCTCCAAGATAGAAACAATCAAGGTAGATAAGTCATCCAGTCTAAATAAGAGTGGACAAACTGTTGCACAGGTTACATATTGTCTGTTTAGGGTACACAAATTGTGCATTAATCCTGAAAATGGACAAGACCTATGCCACAATAAGCAATAGATGTAGAGTACAGCATACTGCATATAAACATTTTCCATGGCAGTGTGGGGGCAGAGGACTTATAATGCTTCTGTGCTCCGTCTGAGTCTTTCCATCAATCTAATCTAAACAACACTTCTCAATTACCGACTTGTTCCCCCCCGTGTGTGGGAGCAAAGGTCCTGTACCATATGGTTTCCATGGTAAAATGATGTGGATTTGAGATTAGCCATAGCAGGTAGAAGATGCATTAGGAGATAAAATGAGAAGGTTAAAAGGATTACGAGCAGCCCTATTTAAGAAGACAGAGATGATTTCAAGTAGCAAACTGCTGCAGATCTATGAAGAGTGACGAAGAAGATATTTTCTTTTTATTTTCAAATAAGAGATTCACAGGTAAGCTGCTGGTTTAAAGAGGTTTAAATTGAATGAAATGTCTTTAAAAATGTATTGATTATGTGGTTAAATTATGCAATTCATTTTAGAAACCTTTATTTTCCAACAAGTGTACAATGTTTTTGCTGGATAATCTGTAGAAAAAAACATGTTCTCACATTCAGTTTGCTTTCAGTAGAAGAAATATTATTTATACTTATTTTACTATTATTTATATTAAATATTTAAGAATAACTATTATGTTCTAAATAATTTTAAAAAATACATTTTTACGTGTTTTAAGTTTAACAAATAATTAGATTTTACACAAAACACGTAAATGTAATTTTTATTTTTAATTCGGAAATCAGATTTGCACATATTGGTCACCATTTTCCTTCAAACCACTAGGAAAATATCTGCAATTACTATCTTCAAATATATTTAAAAAGAGTCAAACAAATAAGCTCTGTAATTTTTTTTATGTTAATAAACACGACTTGGATACTTATGACGTAATCATCTCTGTTAAATCCATTCATGTTTTTAATTTGTCACTAAATAACCTGAAAAAGAAGTCAAAACAACAACAAAAAAATCTTATTCACAGAGAAATGCCCTGAAAGTTTTCTAGAGGGTGGTTAGATAATTTTAGGGTTTCACACTAAAACAAAATGCTGGAACAGAAATTTAGTTTTATTATGCTTTTGTCATATCCAAAGCAGTCCTGGATAATTGTATCACTTTTCCTCCAACTTACAATGTTTTCATTTTCTTTAAAATATTTTTTGTGTGTTTGCTTCACTTTTGTAGTAATGCAAAGTAGGAAACCTGTTAAATATCCAACAGGCTGAGCCAGACAAACACACTCCTATACTCACAACATGAATACCTGTTAAAATTGTCAAACAATAATTTTAATCAAACTTTTATTGCCTTTTTGTGAAGATTGGTGGTGAGACCACAAGTCTGTAGACCCAGTCTGGTTCACTGAGAAATGAGAAAAAGATCCAGACCAGAGTACGGTCTCCTGCTTCTTATGCTGAGATGGTTTTATAGTGCTGGCCAGTGGTGTTTATTTTTCCTTTTTTGGGCTTTGTGCTGATCAAGTTGCTGTATAAAAGTGGTTGAAAAACGTTTTTAAAAAGTGTTGAATATCTAACCTAAGAAGTGAACTGCTCTTGCAGCAGACATCTGTGCTACACCTGGAGGAGGATGAAGTTGGCTGTCCTGGTGGTGGTGCTAGTCCTGGGGAAGGGATGCTTCAGCTGCAACCTGAAAAACGTTAGCATCCTCATGAAGAGATGCGATCAGGAGGTGTGCATCCACACCACAATCTGTGAAGGGCTGTGCTACTTCCAGGTGAGGAAGGATTCAAACTGTCTGAGTTATTTATGATAACCAATTGCACGTAATCACTAACAAAACCATATCAAGGTGAGACTTATCTGTCTTTGAAACTGTGCTGAATTCAACTCTGTCAGCTCCCGTTTTCATTGTGAAAATGTTTATTGGAAAACAAGCAAATACTGGTTTTATTAAATATGATGTAATAAAAATCTTCCACCAGTGTTTCCACTGAATTGTGTTCATATAGTCAAATCTTTAATTCGTTTTGGTAACAGGACCCTGTCTTTGAAGACCCTGAAGTGGCGCCTGTGCAAACGATCTGCAAAGGAGACTGGTCCTACGAGGTGCAAGACATAGACATAGAGGGGTGTCCGGGAAGCATCACTTACCCTGTGGCTACAAACTGCGACTGTTCCAGATGTAACACAGAGGACACAGACTGCGGCCGCTTTTATGGTGACATACCCAACTGTTAAACTACTCCTTTGGTCAGGAAACGCATACTTATTGTTGTACCTTTTTGTCTGACACTGAAATAAAAAAAAGATACTGCTAATATTTCTGTTTATTTTTTCTTTGTGAACACCAATTGTTTTAAAGTGCCTTAAACCAGAATGATTGGCCTGGTAAGTTATCATCATCAGAAGTAAGAGACTCAATGTCCGCATATCGGTTTCACCTTTACTCCCAAACAAGGGGACCAATCCTGAAAGTGCCGTATTTCTACTGGTCAGTTTTTCATTCTGGCAAAATGGTTCACAGAAGGGAAAATAAAAAAGGCTTGCCTCTTTTGACAGGTGGAAATGAAAATATACGGCCTGCAGTATTTCTAAAAGCTCCACTGGAGTCCCTGTTCCTCACTGGCTCTTCTCCAGGGGTGCCGCTAAATGCAGAAACAGCTTAGTAAGCCCTAAACATATATTTCTGTAATGAATTTGGATCTTCCCTGGAATACAACACCGCTTTGGTAGATTTTTATGCTTTGCAGAAAAAGCTTCTTTTCAGGTCATGTAACTTAACGGTACAGCAAGTTATTACTGCTCTAAAAAAAAAAAAATCATATTTCAGCAAATGTGAGCGAATGGTCCTTTATATAATAAATGGAATGGTCTGGTAGACCACTTCATTTTTTAGATAATTGATAGTAAGGCATTAGTGAGTTTCTGAAGTGTCAGCATTGAGTTCATTTCATTTACTTCGAAGAAATAAATGTTCTGTTCTGCTTGTGAAACGTGTTCCTAGTTCGTTGTGGCACATCATAAATACTTTTGAGTTTTTAAACTTTTGATAAAGTCTTCACTTCCAATAAGAGACTTTGGTCATATTTAAAGTTTGGTGGATGTGCTGAATATTCATATGAAACACAGCTGACAACACAGATTTTTATTTATAGCCAAGGACACCCATTAACATCTTCTATTTAGTGTGGCTGCATATTTAGTGCTTATTTTATATGTTTGTTTTCTAAAAGGGTTGGATCATCTGTTTTTATTTAATATGATGGGGAAGATTTCACTCATGTTGATTAGAGTGAAATCTACACCTGCAATTACACCTGCTCACTGTGAATGAGCAGGTGTACTCACTCAGCTCACAACACCTGCTCACTCACAGTTTGTGAGATAGCTATGATTTTGTCAGACAACTATGCTGTCTTACAAAAGCAGCCATTCTCCTTGAACCTTTTACAATTTGTAACATTGTAACCACAAACTTCAATACATTTTATTAGGTTTTGATGTTTCAACACAGGGCACTGAAAATGAGACATACTTTTAAGCTGATTGTATTAATAAAAATCAGGAAAATGTGTGAATTGAGACTTCACACATTTTCCCCATTTAGCTGGATTTCATCCCCCATGCAGTTGCAGGGGGATGGTATCTGTCACAAGGCAACACTGAGACACACAAACAATTATGCACACACACACACCATAGAGAAATTTAGAGAGACCAGCTAACCAAACATAAATATTTTAACTTGAGAGAGGGAGCTGAATTACATGCAGAAAGACTAAATAAAATTTTGTACAACTCATTTCTAACAGAAGTCACATAATTAGTAGCACCTGAAAATGGAAAGGGTAGGTCACACCTGTGAACTAAGACATAGGGTTAAGACATTGAAATACTTTCTTTGTAAAAACACAAAACAACAACAACAACAAATTTATTTAGCTTTTGCTTGGAAGTGGAGTCCAAGTCAGGACAAAATTGTTGGAAAGTTTGTAGTTTGTTGTGTCGAGTTGGAAAACACAAGGAGGTGAGACTATAGGAAGAAAGCCTGAAGTAAAACGCTGACCAAAGCCAAAGAGAAATTCAGCAGGTATAGATATTGACTGTTTCCCAAAAGGAATTGTGGTAGGGACTATTTTGCCCAGTGTTAGTGTAACAACATCAACAGTTTCTCCATCAATGTAAACAGCCTGAAGGAAGCAAAAATAAATGCAAAAGAAATATTAAAGCTGCAAGCAGCCTCGAACGGCCCTCGCAGCCAAGCGCCGCTCCGGCCTATTGCCACCGCGGGGTACGAGCAACCGCCGCCTCACGCCAGCCACCACAGAAGCTCTCACGCAGTTTTCAGCGCCTCCGCCCGCACCGCGGAAGCTGTTGCTCAGTTTCCATCAACGCTGCGCACGTGCTAAGACAGAAGTTGTTGCGCAGTCTCCGCGCCCGTCCACCAGGCGGTACGCATCTATGCGTTCGGCGGCGATCCCTCACAATGCAAAAAAATGTGGTATAGATTCATTGGTTTAGCGAGGAAATATAGCTGGCGGATTAATGTAGGGGGCGCAGTGTAGTCAAAATACATTTCAATGCTGTTTTTCTCTTTAGAGGTCAACAAAGGTCATACGTATCCAATTTGTCGCCAGTCCGATGATCCACGTGTCATTTAGAGCCGATCATATGCACTCCAGGGATGGAGTACCACTGCCTCCTGCTGGCGCAATACTGGTATTGCACTAGCAGTACCAGTATTTCGTCACAAGGTGCCAGTGGTACTCCATCTACACTGACCAAAGTGTGTTCTTACTTCGCTGTGTCATAAGTTTTGCTGAATGACTTTGTTTGTATTATTTCTAGCAAAAATGAATGAATGTTTGTACTTTAACCCACAAAATAAACTTATATATATATAAAAGTTATAATAATGTATATTTAAATAATTAATAACAACATAACCTATGGGCTGCTGTTTTCTAGGGGGCGCTATAGAGAAATTAGGCCACGCCCATCAAATATTGTGATGGATTCCTGTCGGGGAGTTGATGGGAATCCATCCTTGTGAGTTTGGAGCAGCTGGGCCCAAAAATGTGGAATTGAGAGCCAAACGTATGGCGATGGCGTTACAGGTCACTTCGCCACGCCGCCACGCCCACCTGCTCCATCGTAGCTGGTCGGGGTTGAAATCCTCAATACACCAACATGTCTTCAGTGTCTGGTCACAGTTTCATGTTGATGAGGTCAAAGGGGTCAGATTGCGACCATTCTCAGTAAAACATGACACTTCCTGTTCTCAGGTGGCGTGGTCTAAGTGATGTTATCATTCGACCATAGGGTATTGTAGGACACCCGATGATAAATCACAGAAACTTTGGTGCCTCTGTGAATTTCTGTGTAGGAGATATAGCAGTTTATTTTTTATGGGGAGTAGGTGAACTTTGACCCCTGCCAACCCCCCTTCAGCATACTCAAAAACTCACCGTTTTGATAACTTTAGATGGGACATGCCTTATGAACAGACTGACTGAGTTTGAAGCCGATCAATCGAAATCCCTGGGAGGAGTTCGATCAAATATGAAGGCTGTAAACTGCAAAAATGGGTCAAAATCCAAACTTCAATCTAAAATGGCCGACTTCCTGTGGGGTTTAGACCATGGCTCCAAGAGACTTGTTTGTAAGTCATGACAAGGTACACACGTGTACAAAGTTTCGTAATTGTAGGTTAAAGCATGGCTTGGGGCTGATCATTTAAAATTTTCTAGGGGGCGCTATAGAGAAATTAGGCCACGCCCACCAAATATTGTGATGGATTCCTGTCCGGGAGTAGATGAGGATCCATCGTTGTGAATTTGGAGCAGCTGGGCCCGAAAATGTGGAATTGAGAGCCAAACGTATGGCGATGGCGTTACAGGTCACTTCGCCACGCCGCCACGCCCACCTGCTGCATTGAAGCTGGTCGGGGTTGGAGTCCTCAATACACCAACATGTTTTCTGTGTCTGGGAACAGTTTCATGTTGATGAGGTCAAAGGGGTCAGATAGCGACCATTGACAGTAAAACATGACACTTCCTGTTCTCAGGGGGCGTGGCCTAAGTGATGTCATCACTTGACCATAGAATATTGTAGGAGACCCGATGATGATCAATCACAGAAACTTTGGTGCCTCTGTGAGTTTCTGTGTAGGAGATATAGCAGTTTATTTTTTTATGGCGAGTAGCTGAACTTTGACCCCTTCAGCATACTCAAAAACTCACCGTTTTGATAACTTTAGATGGGACATGCCTTATGAACAGACTGACCGAGTTTGAAGCCGATCAATCAAAATCCCTAGGAGGAGTTCGATCATATACGAAGGCTGTAAACGGCAAAAATGGCCTCAAAATTGGACCTTCAATCCAAAATGGCCGACTTCCTGTGATACTTGCACTATGACATTAATTGTAAATTTTGAGCGTCTTGGGGAGCTCTACAAGTGTACCAAATTTCATGTCTCTACGATGAAGTAAGTGAATAGCAAAGGGTCCTTTGAAAATTTGTAGGTGGCGCTATTGAGCCATTTCTTATGGGATTTTTGCGATGACCTTAAAATAATAAGAAACAGTACAGAAACAATAGGCCTTCGCAGCGCTTAGCTGCTCGGGCCTAAAAAGAAACATTCCAACTCTTCTTATCCTGATTGGACAATGCAGTGAAATTAAAAAAGTTATTAACATTTCTTGGATGTAATTGCATTAGATGACACAGCTGTCAGCTGATTTACCTCCTCTGAACAGCTCACGCTTGTGGGAAAGAATGAGGTCTGCATTCTTGCTTTTGCTGATACCAGGCCTCCAGCATCCAATTATTTCACATATTTAAATGCCTCCACAGCAAAACTACTTCAAAGGCCCCATTTGCTGCTTTCTCTCAGCGCAGGACGTGATTTCACTCCTGCATGCTCCTCCCTCTCTCCCAGTGCTGCTTAGAATGCAATTCACAGTCTAATAATGCCCCTGCCTCTTGTCGCCTATTACTCTAATCGGAGTGCCCAAATGCCGTGGGACAGGTACAACAGATGGGAGAAACAGCATCAGGGTGTCCAGACTTAAAGAGCTAGCAAACCCATCTGCTGGCAAATTGAGCTCACTGAATGATATTCACTCTCCCCAAAGCCGATAACTGCCTGGCTGCCGGACGTCACGTGGAGAAAGAAGCCTTATCCACTTATCTGCATCTGCCTTCTTCAGTTCTTTAAAAATCCTTTTTTGTGTGCAGCCATAATCCCATCCAAGCTCATCCATCACTGCCTTTGAGACAGTTTGTGCAGCAGCATGCCCCTAAGGCAGTGCAGTAATAAGGAAACTTTATTTTTTAAACACAGAACAGCCAACCAAATTTTATCTTGATTATTTTGTTCTCTCATTACACTGAAAAAAGTGAGTCACCCCGAAGGCAAAACAGAGTAAATCTGCCGTCTAGGCGCTTTAACAGCTTAAATATTTCTGTAAAGATGCACATTATGAAATAATAAACTGAGCCTCACTCCCTCATGTAACAGGATTTCTGTTGCAGTGATGCAACAACTATCCAGTAGTACCTTGCAAAAGTTCAAACTTTTTTACATTTTGCCAAGTTAAAACCACAAACTCCAAGTATTTTTGGTTGAGTTTCTGATGCAAATATTTTAGCACACTTGAAATAAGACAAAACTAGCTTACAAGTTACTGTTCAACAAGATATGTGAGCTTGTTTTTAGTAAATCATTCCTTGATATTGACAAAAAAGTACCAGTATGAGTGTAAAGCAGATCATAATGGTAAAGAGGAGAATAATCCTTGGTTTTCAATATTTTTCTAATTTAAAACTACAAATTTTAGCATGTATCATTTTTTTTAGTCCCCTTTACTCCATCACCCATAAATAAAATCTAGTGCAATTTGGTTTAACTATGGTAATGAAATTTGTTTGACAACCAGAAACATTTAGATGACAGAAACTAAAAATGAGGAACTCTATACTTTTTCATAGCAATGTATGACTGCATTTCAGTATTTTTTTTAATAGGTCAGACTTTGAAATGAGTAATTTAGTGAGAGGTTAGGATCTCTACATGTTATGTTCTTTAATATATAGCATTTCAATCATACAAATAACAGATAAAATTAACTCAGTCCTCTTTTTTTTTCTCAAATCACCACAATCCAACACATGAGACTACCAGGCAGTATTTCTTTTTTAATGATATTCAAATGCAGAATACAAGGAATGTTTGCAACATTCTGGTGTGACAACAGTGTAGCAGTGATGAAGTCACTCGAGCGGCTTACCGACAAATTAAGTGGGGAGAAATATCCTCTTATTAACAGGACAACGCCTAATGAGTGCACAACCATGGAGCAAAGCAATACGGATACAACCAAGAGTCATTACTACCATAATGAAATGTCAAAGACAACATGACTTGAGGTTACAAAGTACTGACCTCAAATTTTTACCACTCCATGTCTGTGATTTTACAACACAATACAGAAAAATAAAGCATCAATACAAAACACATTTATTCTTAAACTGTAAACTTCAAGAAATGTGACGGTGCATCTGCAGCCCAGATAAATCTGATAAACCTGGGAGCAGAAGCACATTTCAACAGAATCAATTTACACGGGACCCAGGCAGGCGATGCTCTCTGGAACCGACAGCAACCCCTCATCTGTCACTGTTCACTGCATAAATAAGTCAGACAGGCTGCTCCTAACAAAGAAAGATGCACAAGGTTGTATGTTTTAATAAACCAAAACGTCAAAAAGTTTAGTTTAGATGCATTGTGTCCACAGCTGGTAAAAGTCTTTCAAACATGTAAATACTTAAGACTTTTCACAGCTTTGCAGTTTTACTGCCTACAATTCACCATGTGAACTTTATACTGCACTGTTTAACTCAGGGGGGAAATAATGAGATTCTAACAGCTTTGATTGTCTCCAACATTAATCCTGAGAATTGCATATAAAGAGGAGGAAATGTCATCAGTCTTCTAATCTGTAGATAAGTTAAGATATTAAACCCTGGGTCAATGTCACTCAAAGACTTCTGCAGTGTTCATTCTAGAAGTACAACACACTCAGTAACACATTAGTGTGTGCAGTCATAGCAAAAAGGCAAAGTTCAAATAACATCAGCAGTACCAAATGTAACACTATAAGCTTGAAACCTCTGCACTATGAACACAAAAGGGGCCTGTGTGGCATCAGTAAAGACAGTTCAGGAGGAACATAAATACCAAATGGAGGCCAAAAGCTGAGTTAAACACCATCACACATCGTCTCTCCCTAATGATGTGCCTGCAATGAAGATGCAGGCACAGTTAATAAGGGAATTACTGTAGTGTTTCATGCCACCTTCAATGACATCTCTGTGAACTTATTACTATATTATTTGCTTTTAAATCAGCTTGCAATTCAAAAGCTGTTTGTTCATCTAAAATATACCAAAATTCTTCAATTTGACTCAAATCTTTATGTTCAAAGCACTGTGGTGAACATAAGCCATAACATTATCAATAATAATTTATAAACACTTGACATAATGTGATGTCTATCTAGAAAACTTCAAAATTTTAGTCTTTATATGAAAGACAGCTGGACCTTTGTAACATAAACTAGTCATGGGGATGAACTACAACTTGAAATTAAGACTTTTAATTATCCAATTCTTTTTTCAGGAGGCCTTGATTATACAGCATATAATGTCAATTACTTTCAGAAATAGAAATTAATTGCACTAGTTTGGGTTTTTCAATATAAACAAAAACTGAGGCATAATTCTGGCTTGAGATCTAACTATTCTTGGCAGACAGAGCTGAAATAAATTGACTGGTTTCTTGGCCAGATATTAAAGCACAACCTACAAAACTTTTATAGTTGACTTTGGGATTTTATTACCACCTTTTGTTGGTTTGGTTTGTTCGGCCACCCAAACTGCAGCATTGGTGTAAACACAACAAGCTAAAAAAAATGGACGTCAAAACGACCGGAAAAGACAAAATTTGTGCAAAGTACAAAAAATATGCTTGAAGGATTCGAGTGCGTTCTTTTTATTTTTTCTTTTTAAGTTCCCTTTAAATGATCGAGTATTATATATAAAACTTAGATAGAGGTGAGTGGTGGAATATTGTGATCCAAAATCAAAACTGGGTTTGGACTGGACACATTGCAAAAACACAAAATCCTGCCAAGTGTTTTTTTCTAATTTCTGGTGAAAATATCTTAGTACACTTCAAATAATAAAAACTAAAACTTTTTGGCGAAAAATTTGAGTTTGCCTTAAGTCAATAATTCCTTAATATTGATGAAAAAACAAAACACTTTGTTCTATGTTATACGTGAAATAATCTGCCAATGAAACTGCTACTTTTTCATCAATATCAGTGAATGAAAACAAGCTCCTTTTTCTTGCTGAAAAGTTGCATCTAAGTTAGTTTTGTCTTTTTTAAAGAGGACAAAGATATTTGTAGTAGAAACTAGACAAAAATACAAGTTTTTATGTTTTTGCAAGAACGCTTATAGCTTTAATAAGCTACACTTAAAAGGACAAATTAAATTAATTCTTCCACCTCTGATAAGAAGAGTAGTTAAATATCTAGTCAGAACAGAAAACAGTTAAAATCTAGTTGATGTTTCACTTTGTGTTTGTTAGCTTCTACCTGAAACAGTAGACATTACTTTTAAACTACTAGCGTTCCCCTAATTTTTTAAAGTCGCGCTGTTACGTACCATAAGACCCTCATATTCTGTTTTCCACATTTCCAAAGTACAAACTGATCAACAGACTCCATCTCAGGAAGATAGTCATAATGGCATCTGCATTTGATCATCTAAAGCTGTAGCAAACCACTTAAAACTTCAGCCCCACATCCTGGATTAATGACATTAGTGTCACTGTTGTTGTTTGCATTTAAGAGAAAAGGTAAAGGTGCTGCAGCACAGCAAGGAGTGTCTGTTTGCTGAAGGACAGATTCAAAGTCTTTCCAAGGCAAACAGGGCGGTGGCAGGTCTCTGTCTGCTGCTGCTCTCAGTCAGGTACGATATAACACAGAAGGACAAATTCCCAGCTGCAGATGCCCTTTTTTCTCATCTGGAAACACAGCGATCACACTTCTTCAAAGAAGGCCATCTGAGACATGTAGGCTGAGTTTCGCTGCAAATCAAGACAGACATAAACAATCTGAGAAAAACAAGCTGTGTGAAAACATTCATTCAGGAGGTTTTTATTATATGTAAATATATTGTTTTAAGTTTAAATCTAAAGATTTTTAATAACCTTCTTCATGCTGTAAAGGTTGATTGCTACTAATATTAAAACATATTTTAATGTAACTTAGAATTAGTTTTCCTAAGATTGAACCTCTTAGTGTCATTTTTATTTGCATTTTACACCTTAGATGTTATGATGTTAAACTATAAGGCATAATCATTTAAAATAAAATATTATTTAAAATAAAATTTAAAACTAAAATCTCTTTTAGCCTTCTGCTGGTCATGAGAAACCCTTTACTTTTTTTGCATTCATTTGGTGAATAGAAAACTGAGTTTATACATGCATGGTGTAAAAATGCTCTTTTTTTCCAGAAAAATGATATTTTCCATACTGTGTAGAAACTCTGGCTATATTCATAGAGATTCATTAAAAAAAGCTTACAATAGGAATGTACCGATTGCATTTTTCTGAATGATCTCTGATTACCGATCTATGAAAAGCCTGACCTGATGATTCCAATTTTGATTGATATCAATTTGTTTTGTCTGAAATGTTGCTAAACATAGCAAAAATAGATATGATTGGTTTCACATGCAAGTATCAACCGACCACCGATGTCCCAAAATTAAGAAAAACTGGCGCAACCCTATTTTAGAAAATAGTAAGGCAGGAAGAATATTTGAGTTTATTTTTCTCATTTACTTTCCTAAACATTCCAACAGTCCGATCCTCCCAGACCCCGATAATCAGAGTAAACTCACGTTGCTGTGAGGTACATATGCCGGTTCGGGGACGTAACCTCTGGCCTCTCCGGGGAGGCTGTACATGCTGGCCTGCTGCTGCTCCTCCAGCTTCAGAGACTCGATCTCCGACTTCAGCTCCTTCAGCTGGTCCTGCAGGTGTTTGCTCTTCTCCATGTACTCCAGCCTGTGTGAATGCAGCATCAGCAAACAGAGCCGAACACGTTTCACCTGTGTTTGAGTCGCCGCCTCACCGTTCTCTCTCGATCTCCATGGACAGCCTCTTCATGTCCGAGTCCTTGAAGTCGAGGCGTGACGACGCTGAATCATAGCTGAAGTCGGCTGCTTCAGGAGGAGCAGGCGGAGAAGAGTACGCAGCTATGAGCTGAAGGACACAAACACATGGCAACATACTTTCTTAATGTGAAAACTATTATGCTAGCATATGCTACACTTATCCTGAATGCAAATGAAAACACAGTTCTCTTATTTCTGCGCTGCAGATCAAAATCTGACTGAATGCAATATTTTTCCTCAAAACATTGATTTATCTCTTCTCATTCTTTCTCTTGCTAAGTTTTTTTACCTTCTAGTTTTTAGTGCAAGTATCTTATTACAGTTGAAGTAAGAAAAACAAACTTACAAGTAAGTTTTCAGCAAGATGAAAGAGCTTCTTTTAAGTAAATTATTCCTTAGTGATGAAAATGACTAGATCCACTAGCAGATAAAGTCAATTAACACGACATTTTCCCCATGTAATAAATGAAATGATCTGCCAACGGTATGCAAATCTAGTATATTTTCATCAATAGTATGGAATTATTTACCTAAAATAATGTCCTGTATCTTGCTGAAAATTTACTTTTCAGTTAATTTTGTATTAATTCAAGTGGACATATTTTTCACTAGAAGCTAGACAAACATACTTGATAAGATTTTGCGTTTTTGTAGAAACCCTGTTTGTTTACGTTTAAGTATTACTAGTCTTCACAGAATTTTTTTTTTCCTCTCTCTTTCTGTCATTTGCTATCTGGGGTTTTTAAAATCCCCGAGTCAGCTCTGATGAATCAGACTGTCTTCATTTTATAATTTCATAAATAACCACAAAAGCAGAACAACTACTCAAAGGCATCAGCTATTAAAAGAAGTGCACTTTGATATCTCAGAAAAGCAAAGTAATAACCTTCAAAAGAAAACAAAAACATCAACAGAGAAGAGAGAATGGAAACGGCATAAGAAGTGCATCATTAGTGCAGTACAGGGTATGTTGTTTTGGTGATTTCCAGGAGCTTCTGCTTGGCTCTTCGCTCAGCATCCTTTGCTTCTGTCAGGTCCTGCTTTAGGTGATCTGCTTCTTTCAGCCTGGAAACAGACGATGGCTTTATTAAGCACTGACAGATTGCTAAGACCGCTCAGCTAATCTGCAGGAAACACATCTGTTTGGTTCCCCTCGTAAAAATTAAAGCCTTAAAATAAAATTCCAATTAATTCCAGTACAATGGTTTATTAATTTTAGTGTTGACTATATTTAGGAAGTAGGAAAAAATTTGTTTGCCTCTACTCCCACCTTCTTCAAATCTAACAAAATTCGATCGCAGCACAAAGATTTTTGTTTGTGCTGCGATCATTTTAAAGATATTAATAGAGAAAGTTGCAGAGGTCTTGAAAGCAGAAGCAGCACAAACTAAATTTTTTGCTGCACACATGTAGCTGAGATGATTGGGACCAAATTTGTTTGATTTTGTAGATGTGAGCGGGACGGCTGGTCGACCTCTGATGACCTCTGGAAACTTCTGTATTGATATTTATGATGGCGACACAAATTTACATTTTTGCTGCACAAACGGAGAATTTCTTTCATGAGTTGTTAAAGTAATTTATCTAAAATCCTGAAAAACAAAATAAAATTAAAATTTTACTCAAAATAATATCAATAATATAAAAAAACATGAATGCCATAAAACGAAATATTTGTAGTTTTGTGTCTAAAATCGCAGATTTAATAAAACGTGAACACAAACGCGGTGCGGTTAGTTTTCAGTGCAGTTAGTTTGTGACACATCATGGATTATTAAAGCAGCTACTGATCAAGATCTTAAGAACTTTGTGGACTTATTGTCTGTACAAAAATCACCCAGACAATTCAGAGTATCTCTCAAATCTGTCCTAGATTACTTTTTAGGAAACAAAACAGTTTGTGGTGCAAAGATTCACTACAATCTGTGTTAAAAGATTGTTATTTTCCCCAAAAATATAAACAAAGCACAACTCCAGGCTTCAAAAAGCTTCTTCATTTAAAACTGAAGCTTATAAAGAGACACCACGAGCTAATATTTGTGATTGGACGGTTTCGTTCATAATCTGTTAAGGTAATTTATCCTGCCACTTCATCTTTTGTAAATAAATAGATACAAGCATGTAATAACTGGTACATTTGCAGAAAAGCCATGGAGAAAGTAATAATTAATTACATTAATTACAGCAAAACACTCGAGTAGCAATAGTAAAGATAATTTCACACCTCCTCTCAGACTGCTCCACCAGCTTTACAGCCAGCTGCTCCGCCTCCCTCATCTTCTGCTCCATCAGGCGTTTCTCCTCCTTGCTCTTCATGGCTGTGACCTCTAACCTCTGTCGCTCCTGCTCAGCCTCTGCAGCTTTGTGAGCCAGAAGCTTAGCCTCCTCCTCAGCGATCTGGGCCTTTTCTGCCAGCAGGTCTGCCGTCTCCTCAGACCGCAGCTGGATTGGGACGAACAAATGAAGACAGGAAATATCAATCATGACCCACGAATGTGATTTTTAACCATTTGGTTTGTCACGAATAGTTAGAGTCTGAAACATTGGAGCTCTCACCAGCGCCTCGTTAGCGAGCCGCGCCTCGTCCTGCAGCTGGAAAAGTCTTCGCTCCATCTCCTCTTTCGCCCGCTCTGCTTCCTCTCTCATCTGCTTTTCCCGGGCCAGGATCTGACGCTCCATCTAGATGAAGGAGAGAAATGAAAGAATTAAAAACCACAAGTGGACTGTCACAATTTAAACACTTTTCAAGTCAAAATCCAAAGCTTATTCTGGACTCAGATCACAGATTTACTCAGTGATTTGAGTAAATTAGTTCAAACCAGTGATTTGGACCATTTGTAAATTACAAAACACAAACAGATATTAGTTTTTAATACAAAACCGACAAAATCCACAAGAGGGAGAGAAAGCAAGAGGAGAATAAAAATATAACAAGAGAAAAGGGGATTAAAGGAAAGGACAACAAATAAAAGAAATAATTTATCAAAGAAAGAAAGAACCAAGCAAGGAAGAGGAGACAAAGAAGGAAGGAAAAAAGGAAGGAAAGAAGTGAGCATTAAAATAAAGGTGAACATAAGAGAAAATTACAGGAAGGAAGATAGGAAGGGTAGTGCTGAGGAAAAGACAGAAAAACAAGAGGAAAGACAGCAGGAATGACAAGAACAAGGAAGGGAAGGAGGAAGGCAGGAACAAATGATGGAAAGGAAATAAGAAAAAAAGACCAAATTAAGGAAAAGCAGAATGACAGACAATCAAACAGAGGAGAAAAAGCAGGAATAAAATCTAGAATCACACATTTCTTTTCCTAATCCTCCATCCGGTCTGTTAAAAACTGGTAAATTAAAATTTGTATTTTTCCACTCCAACCTTCTTGCGGGCCTTCTCCTCTTTGGCCTGAGCCTTCATCTGCTGCACCTCGATGGAGTCCACCTTCCTCCTCCTCATGAACAGATCGTGGTTCCCGATGCACAGCTGCAGAATCTGAAACACACAGAGCAGCAAGATCTCTCACTGCCAACACAGACAAATGATTTAGCTTTAAAAAAAAACCTACCAGCTTGTTGACACGCAGCTGAGACGAGTAGAACTTGAAGACATCTTTCTTCTTATCTAGAGGTTTAATTGTGAACTGCAAAAAGGGAGAACAAAAACTCTCCTAGAGTAATCCTAGCTTTTGAAGTAAAAACTCAGAATTTTTACTGAAGCATGGTTAAATAATACTTTATCAATTTAATAAAAGCAGTTTTCAACGGAAGAGGAGCAGAAAAACTAATTCAGAATTTATTTCTTAAGAGTTTTTTCTCTCTTTCTTCAGAATTCACCAGAATTATTCTGACTTTAGTCTTTCAAGATCAAAAGTCATTCTACTGGAGTGAAAAAAATCTGAAAAACAAAAAGGTTCAAATTCTGAGAATAAAGTCAAACTCCTAATGCTGCGTTCTCACTAAAAGCGTTTTGACCATCAGGCGTGTCTGGTTTATCTTCAAAGGCCATGTGGTGATAGTAATGTGACAAAATCTATTAAAAATTAAAATTGTTTCTTTAAACCTATAAAACCTGATTAAAACTGTCAGGACTCACCTCCTTCTCGCTGTAGGAGATATTCCGGATCCCACTCCAGGGGAAAGACTTGTTTGGGTTCAGTTTGTTGTTGGGGTTGTAGATATGGAGACCCTGAGCGTCCACACCCAGTAAAAGGTCTGTGTCTCTCTTATTTTGCTGTGCATTGAACAGTATTAAAGGTAAGTACTTTTCTAGCACTGTGGACCGTTTTAATAGTGGTACAGTCATCAACACTCACAGTAATGGCAAAGTAGCTAACACCGTACATTTCGAGGTCCTGGGCGATCTTCAGGTATTCCATCTCTGCTTCGTCTCTGAGCAGAAAGAAGAATATCGTTGAAATTAAAACCCAGACTTTTAGTAAATTGTTGTTAATTTGAAGGAAGTCAGCCGTACCTGGCGATGCCTCTGTGTTCGGCGTACCAAGCTGTAATCTTCTCCTCCCACATGTCCGCAGTCATTTGGTACTGCATCAGAACCTGAAACGTTCCCAGGAAAAACAATCAGGAATCTAACAAATTAACCTGTTTTCACTTAAGTTTGGACGTAGCTTAGCTTAGCATGCTTACCCTTTTTGGCAACAGTTCATCTTGTGCAAGAAAACCTGGCTTGTGAAAGTTTGGATCATAGTCACCGTACTGGGATGGACATTGAGAAATAAGAAAAAATAAAAAGCATTAATGTGGCTCTTAGCCATATTCCTATATATAATTTGCCTTTTAATTAATTGCTGTATCGTCCCAGAATATAACCTGATAACAAGTGAGGCTGCGGCAGCAGTCATTAAAACGTTTTTGATCAATTTCGAGAAGATTTGCAGTGAAATCAGAAAAAAATATGGAGAATTGTAAATTCTGTGTGAATTTTGCAGATTTGTGAAAAACTCGAAGAACTTATTGATGTGACGTGGAGTCTTGAGCGCCACATAAAAAGCTATGGAGGGCCAGATTTGGCCCCCAGGCCTTATGTTTGACATATGTGGGTTAGCTGCTTATACCATTCATTCAATAATTTTTGATCTTTTAATAATTCCAGGATGTAATGATGATACAGAAACAACTTCAGATCATTTTTAAAACAAGAACTGATTAAATTCATTTAAATTTCCTCTGTAGTTTCTTCTAATCCAAATATACAGTACAAATTATTTATACTTATTTACACTATTTATACTTATATTAATATTATCCTATAATCTTATGCTTTGCCTTTTTACCCATCAACAAGCTTCTTCGCTAACAATTAAGCAGAAGCTTAATTGCATTATTTAGCAGCAAAGAAAACAAAAATGTTGGGAGAGTTTCGGTAAGCCTTTAGAACAAAAAAATCAAGCATGCAACTGTTTTTTGTTTTGTTTTTGCTTTTAGATTTCATTCTTTATCTGTTTAAATGGACATAGACAGGATCTGCACAAAGAAAAGCAGTTTTCACAACTCCAGCTCCTGGTTTCAAAGAATGTTGACAATAAAAATATTTCTGCACTTCATCACAATATGAGCAATATATAATATTTATTTCTCTACCCTGTGACCACAATGCTGACATTGCCTTAGTTTATCTCACCCATACTGACAATGTGCTGAAAAGCTAAATCTTAAAAAAAACACTTTATATAAAATCTACCAATTTGGTGGGAATTTGTTACAAATGAAACTTGCTAAAGAATATTACTCACCCAATAAGTTGGAGTATTTATATACCTTTAAGCCTTATTTACATGTAATTTTGTACATATTTTGTATATTTTATATAAGACAGAACATTCAAAGAACTTTAAATTTGCTAACTGATCATCAGCATTGAGCCTTTATTGTTTATGTCTCAAAATATTTGAAATTTAAAAGTAATGCTTGCAGCTTTGCATTGTCCTCCTACCTTTGCCTGGACAGCATAAGAGGCCAAAAGCACTGAAGCTTCAGGGGAACAGAATATCTCTTCATCTAGTATCTGTTTTTTCACCTGAAAATAAGAGTTTCACACCAAGTTTGTGGCAATTTGCACAAAAATACACAAAATGCATTATATTTTTGTTGCTACCTGTAAGAAAAATAGGTGTTGGGTGATTTCTTGGACCAGTTCTTCTTCAACTTTCTCAGGGAAGAATTTTGCGAGAAAGTGAAATGTTATGGGGGAATCCTTGGGAACCTCCTGATCCAGAACCTTGATGGAAAAACAAACATTAAGAGGAAAAAATTAAATAATGCTGGGCTCAAATAATCAATCAATAATTTTCATTAGAAGTAGCAGCTACTGTCAGACTTTATTCTTGCAGATGAAGCGCTTCACTCACCTGTTTCTCCTGTTTAAGCCAGGCGTAGGTGTCCTTCACCGTGTATCTGAGTCCAAAGAACCAGGTCTCCCTCAAACCGACGGTGCGACAGACCAGGTCAAACAAATCTTTACCTTTCCATTTGACCTGAGACAAACAGAGCGACGTTTAAACTGTTTTCCTGCTGTTGCTTTCTGAGATTTTCAGGAACAAGCAGAAAGAAGCATCCAGTGGTACTTCTGCCCCCTGCAATATATATTAATAGCTTTTCTTGTTTCTGCTTTTAACAAAATATGTGTTGCAAAAAAGTATAATAATAAGTGGAATCATCACTTAAACAGATAAATACTTGGCATTAAGACATCAAGTACATCTGACTTTAAATATCAACCACCTCAGTTAAAAAAATTAATTTTTAACTTTTTTAAAGCCTACTTGCTTTAAATTAAATACTTAAATTGAAGTAGCTTAAAATGTGTAATCACTCAAATTGCAAATGCAATAGTTAATTAATTGCATTTGAATCAAATGATAAAGCAAGTGATTCAAAAACGCCTTTGGCTGCTAAATTATTGACTAAATAGACATAGGAGCTCAACAACAAAGATATTTATTGTCTTCTTGTGGAAAAAACAATATCTAATCTGTAGTAACAGATCAGGCTTGAGACTCTGGCAAATGGCAAAGAGCAAAATCTACCTACAATGAGCTCTGATTTGGAGCTGCAAGCTCTCACAATTTATAGGACTCTCTATACAATGTGGTCACTCTCTGGCCCAGAGCCAATTCCAGTCGAACAGGTTAATGCACAGTCACTCTTAACAGGGTATAGAGAATGCAACATCCATTCTTAGGGTAAGTTAATTGTTCAGATGATAAACATCTTTGTTCAAAAATAGGTGCATTTCCAAAAATCAGGTTTACTAATGGAACAATTTTGCATAACAAGAACATTATCACTTTGTACGTGCACTCAGCACGTAGCCTTAGCTTGTGACAATTAATGGAGGAATTTGTTAAGCCTTAGGGTTTATTCCATCTCACTACAATTACCTAACCTGTTTATTGTTATCTGTTAACAAACACTGGCGCCTGATTTAGTTACTGACAACCTACTGAAACTTTTCCAAGGAGAGGTCAAAAGGAAACCTATCTAACTGATTCTTTAAAGACTCCTTGACCTACATGGTTTAACAGACTAAACAATACTAGCGTTAAATGACTAAAGAATTAAAATAAAATTCTTAAAAGAAATAACACAATTTTTACTTGACATTCTGTCATTAAGGTTGTTCACCCGAGTTTCTGCAAAGTCCATTCGGCTTTCAAATGTTTCAAGAGCCACCTGATCATTCTTGTCTTCTCAAAAAAAGTGGACTGTGTTATTAGCATTTGGGACGTCTGTGCTACTGCAACGTTTTTAGCACCGAGATGCTATTTTAGCTTCAATAGCTTCACTGACAGGCTAGTTCCTGGTAGCACAACTTGCACAAACAAACAGTCATGTCCTGTGTTCAAGTCAGAAAATTTTTCGAAGCAAACCCCCAGTGGGCCAAGAGAAGCAGCTTTGTTGTCCATCGATGTTATTTGTGGATGTCGCTTGTGCCTCAGAGTTTTGGACGTGCCAGAAACACAAGACGGAGGTTCCGGCTCTGAACGTTTGTGTGTAAAAAATATTAAATAAGCTGCATGAAAAAAATTTAACACGTTAAAATCTATTAAATTAATTGATTAAAATTAAAGTGTTAAAGTCACAACAGTAAAAAAAAAATAAAGTAAAATTAATTTAAGTTTCAGTTTTATTAACATTCACAAAAATATGTGAATGTTGTCTCTGTTCTTCTTCACTTAAATAAATATCTCTTCTTTAGCCATTTCCAATTATTCTTGCATTCCTAAGTGATTGATGTATTTTTATTATTTTACAGTTTTGCTTCACACATTTTTTGTAGATTTTTTCTTAAGAAAACCCTCCCAGCTGAAGATTATTATCTTCATCTTGTCTTCATGTAGAAAGAAAAATATTTCTTAGTTAGTACAGACTAATCTAATGTTTTGTTGTCCTGAACTTGTAAATAATAACCTAACATGAAGTTCGACTTAAAATACGATGAATGAATAAAAACTAACAGAATGTTTTTTTCAAGTGATGAAGCAGCAGGAAAACAGTGGATAATGTTTTATTCCTTATTTCTTTCCAAACAGCAGACAGATGTTTGTATCTTCCAGCCAGATAACAGCTCAGAGTCAGACTGTGAACGTCCATCTTTAACTGATCACAAAACGAGATGAGTCTGGACCTGCGCAGACACAGAAGTCTGCAAAAACCATTTCCCGAGGCCAAACCTGACTAATACACTTCCAAGAAGATTATAAGTCATGTTTTGAGAGGTGTGCTTCATTTTTTATTACGACAAGATTGCTCGTCTCTTTTCAATTTTCTTTTCAAGTGGATACTTCTGTGCAGCTCATGACCAACTCTGTGTAGTGCAAAAGGATTAATGCCAACCTTTTCTTTTTCACATTAGAACCACAAACCTGAATGTTTTATATTGAGATTTGAGGAAGGAAGCAGCAAACATGGACAAGAAATCCTAACAGAAAGTTAGATCCAAATCAGATGGAATTAGTGCTATTGTGAAAAGAAAAACAGGGAAAAATTGCTCTCTAATTATGACAAAAAAAATTGTTCAATAAAACATTGCCTCAGGGGAGAGAGAACATATATGAGCAACAATTGTCTAATTAAAAATAAATAAAATTAAACAATGTATAACTTTCCTTCCTATTTATTTTTGTGCTATTTTGTATTAGTCTATCACTTCAGTCTGACACCTGGACCTCTTTAGATCCAAAAAATACTGAAGAATTGAACAACATTTTAAGTTTTCTCACCATTAACTGCATTAATGGTGAGAAATATTTTGATTTTGAAAGACTTTATACTTTGTCAATAGGCTTCAAAGTACTTGCTTTTATTGACATTATTCCATTGAAGAATATGTATTAAACCTAAAACCAACATTGAAAGTTGTTCTTTGGTTTAAAATGTAAATAAATTGCTGTAGTAAGTTTTCTAAAACCATAATGCTGATCAAAATGTGTTCAGACAAACAAACTTTGCTTAGCTGGACCAAGAAGAAATTGTGAAAACACTTCTACATCAATCAAATTTATTTGTTTAGCGGTTCATAGTGTTTTTTTTTTTTTAATAAAATCATAAAAACATCATAAATACAGTCACCAGCTGTGAACCCAGTAACAGACATTATGTTTTAATATGTGCCGACATCAAAATCATCAATAAACATGAAATAATTTGGTTAATTTTCCATTCAGTATGGCTCAAAAGTAACTCAAAGCAGGTGGGCTTTAGTCTTGATTTACAGGAACTCAGTGTTTCGGCTGTTTAGCAGTTTTCTGGAAGTTTGTCCCAGATTTGTGGTGCATAGAAACTGAATGCGGCTTCTTTTTAGACCTGTGAAGACACTGTGCCAGTTATCAATGCGACAACAGATAAACATATGAATGAGTTTCTCTAGATCTTTCTGGTACATTAATCTTGGAAATGTTTGTCAGAAGGCTGACTTTGTAACTGTCTTTATGTGTTTTTGACATATTTCGGGCCTGATCACTAGTTTTACTTGTAATAACTGAAGATGTGTGCCGACAAGATCACTCCTCTTTGATAATAACTTGTTTTGTTTCTGTTCAGATGGATAAAGTTATGAAATTATATATCAAACATTTTCATCTCATACTAATGTTTTTGTTTCTTGTTTTTAATTTACTACTTTTTGTGTGGGGTGTGCAACTAAACATAAAGACAGACAAAAAGAGGTCGTAGAAAGAAATCCTAACCTCACAGCTGAACTCCATCTCAGCATCCATAGTAACGACTTTAACTTTGAAAGTCTTGGGTTGTTTCTTCTTCAGTCCAAGGATCGACATTTTGATAAGTGTTTCCAGATTGGAGAACTGTGGAAATAATGGATTGCGTTTAAGGAAGCACAAGTGAATCCCAGTGTAATTGTAAAACAATTCATATCAATAACACATAATACGCCTCAAAAACTGATATTTTCAGTCGATTTCACACAGAAGAAGAGCTACTTGGAGTTGAGAATAAAAGCCATTAACGTGTGGATGAGGCCTAATTACCAGGGCGCAGAGTTAAACTTGAACCCGTCCAGCAAGCCTGAGGGGAGGATGGGCTTTGTGTTTGTGTTACAGCGACCAATGCTAAGCTAACGTTCCTCACTAAAACTGCTACTTTTTCTAACGGTTAAGACACAAACACCGTCCATAACAAGTTATAACAACAGCGAAGCTTTAGCGAAACCGCCATAGTGGACATGTATCTGATATATTTGTTCATAAAGTTAGAATAAAACTTGCTAAAGCTGTCGGGTGCTACGTGTTTAGCTTGTTAGCAAACTGTTCAGAATCATAAGGAGTTTCCAGAAGATTTTTGTTTTGACTCCCAGTCGCTCTACAGGTGGGAACATGAACTGTTTCGGCTGTCAGGAACGCCACTGCCCTGCGCCTGTGTCTGCTTCAATGTTATCGGAAATATCAACTTTACACTGAAATGTAGAAGAAAACTCCGAAGCAAAAAAACTACTTTGCTAATGAGTTTATCTATAGGAATCTCAATGAAGAAATAAAGACGTATTCTAAGAGTTTAAAATATAGATTGTAGCAAAGACTTGTGGATATTTAGAATACCAAGTTGTAATTAAACGCCTCAGAACCTGAGAGTTTTTACTGAGGGAATAGATAACCCACCGTCCATTCAACTCGCTTCCTGGTGCAGATCGCTGCAACCTGTAAGTAAATAACAGCAACCAAACAGCGAGGCGAGTTTAGGTAAATGTACCTGTGTCTTTTTATACAAAATAGAAGCGGGCTTTGCACATCACTACACACAAAAGAAGACAACATTATGGCTTAAATGTGTTATGTTTCACTCAGTCTAGAGAAGTTGTTTTCGTGTATGAAATCAGTATGATATGAAGTTCCCATTTTATGATCACCTTGAATCAAAGTACAGTGGTTTCATATTGACATATTATTACCTTCATTTCAAAGAAAATTTACATTTTGTTGCAATTGTTTTTATGTCTTCAAAACAATAACAAATAGGCATTTTTCTATAATGTTGATTATTTCAGTTATACTAATGTTAATTTGAAAGGCAGAATAAAAACAATTAATGTAGTAGAGATTTTGTAGGAGCTTTTGTTTGCTTAGAATACAGAAGAGTTGAACTGTTTTGTTATTTATTTAATTTATTGATTACTGTAAATTTGCCACTTATTTTTATTTTTGTATTCTTTAGCATTGTGTGAATGTGCAAGCTTTCCACTCTTCTTTAACTTGCTGCTGGTATACTTGAGTTACCCCACCGTGGGATAATAAATTATATTTCTATTCATTTATTGCCATTTATGTTATGATATATTATATTCAATGGGGTCATGCTGGGAGTATAGCAAGCTGAAAATGACTGACAGAAACTCATTAGCTGCCTTGCAGATGTGGCTGTAATTATTTGCTACTGCATGTTTAATTGTGGTTTATGACACTTCTTTTATTTACACATCATCAGCAACAGCTGATCGTAACATTAATTCTTACATTAATGTAAATATCAGGAAAATTGTTATCTCTAGTTTAAAGATGAAGTGGAATTAAAGCTGCAAAATTGTGTCAATGTTGAATATATTAATGATGTTCATTAATTGTGTTTCTCTTTTTTATTATTAGTGACACGTTTTTGTATAATGTCTGCTGACAGTAACACATTTGAAAGCGTAAAAGCTGTTATCTTGTCAGCTCATAAAAGCGCCACATCAGAAGAAAAGATCAGTTTCTACAACCGGTGGGCAGAAAACTACGATCAGGTGAGAAAAGACACATTGGGTGGGTTTATTTTCTTATTTAAGATTAGTAGCTATGACAAGCTAAATGCTAAAATTAAAATAATGAACAGTTATTTAAAGAAAAGTGACAAATAAAGTGTTTTTTGGTTTTCTTTTGATGTTAATTTCTGGTACTTGCTACATGTGAAAGACATTTCCTCAGTAAGCCAAAGTTTCTTTTGCACCTACTAAACTTTAATTTTGCATTTGGTGCAAAATTCCAATCTATGTTGGTAAAATGACAGAGGTTTTCACTTTGCTTCACTGGTGACCTTCATTTGAGGCCTCAGTGCTCGACTCGGGTTCAATCCCGACTCGTTGACCTTTGCTGCATGTCTTCATCGTTTCTCACAACCCGCTTTCCTGTCACTTCGCTATCACATAATAACCGCTTGGGCCAAAAAGAAAAAAAGAAAACCAGCCAGCTAAACACCAACATTTTAAGTCATATTGATACAGACTCACAAAGTAATTTATTTAATATTTGGTGAATAATTTGATTTTATAGCATGCCGTTTTAATAATTTTTGCGAAGTTCTGAGCTTTACGTTGCATAATTAGCTCAATCAAAACACTGTTTAACACCTACTGGGTTTTCCTTTTAAGTTTTTTTTCTACATCAATGTTTTCTCATAAATGTAAAGACATTTATGAGAAAAATGTAATAATAACTGAAAGAAAACGGCTTTTCTTTGAGTCATTACCATTTTTTTTAAACAGGATGTGGCCGTTTTGGATTACCGTGCACCAAGTCTGGCAGCAGCCTGCATCTCGTCCCATTTCAGCAGCTTGCGAGAGGCAGCCGTAGTGCTAGATGTGGCTTGTGGGACCGGACTGGTGGCCAAACACGTGAGTACACTGATGAGATAGGTAAAAAATGTAAATATTTTTATTTTTAAAAAAACTATGTATGGTTATGGTAGTCTTAACATAAGTAAAACTTGATGTTATTTAAAAAAATATGTATGTCTTTGTTTTCCTTAGTTAAAGACAGAGTCACTGTCTTTGTCAGGAGAATGACTGATACAGAGATATGTCTTTGTTGAACAGATGAAAAAAGTCGGGTTTGAACATTTTGTGGGTGTGGATGGAAGCGAAGCCATGCTGGGCAGGGCCAGAGAGAGCGGCTTGTACCGGGACTTGAAGCAGTGCATGCTGGGAGAGGAGCGTCTCCCCGTACAGTGGGGTAATTAAACCAACATCACCTCATTAATCTCTGTGGCCTTTATGATGGTTTCTACTTTCACTGCTAGTGACTTCTGTATATTTATGTTCTGACTATTCTAGACAGCTTTTTAAAAAAGCTTCTCTTCACCTCCTGCAGGCAGCTTTGATGTGGTTGTAATTGTTGGAGCGTTAAGTGTTGGTCAGGTCCCTATTGGTATCGCCAGAGATTTGTGCAATGCCACCAAACCAGGTCAGAGTATCATTTTATTTGTTACTTTTTTAAGTTAATTTCTTCTGTCTTGTAGTGAATGTGTAATTTTTTCACTGCACTGTTTTATCCTTCCACTAGGTGGCTGCATTTGCATGACAACCAGAAGTAACCAGGATAACTTGGAGTACAAAGCTGCCCTTGACAGCGAGCTGAGGAAGATGGAGGAAGAGGAGCTCTGGACTTGTTTAGAGGTCACCGAGGTCAAAGACTGGGAGAGGGCTGTATCAGAGAAGGACAACGGCTACATATCTGGAGTTGTGTACCTCTATAAGAAACTGTAACACATTATTTTGAATGGTTATGAGTTGCATGGTGCAGTTGGTATCACTGTTGCCTTGCAAGGTGCAGGTTGTGGGTTCAAATCCCAGGTTAGGATCTTTCTGCATGGAGTTTGTCCCTGTGCTTGCAGCTGTTCTGTATGGGTACTCCGGTCCAAAACCATGGCTGTATCTTTAAATAGTCCTGAGAGGTGTGCAGGTGTTTCCTGGCGACACGTCCAGGGTGTGACCCGCATGTCGCCCAAAAACAGCTGAAAATAGGAACCAGCAAAGGATGAGCAGGTAAACACTATGAGTGGTTTATTATTTTACTTAAGAATCTCTTAAGACTTGAGTAAAATATAATTATACTTTTACATATTATTAAATTGTACTTTTTCATTTTTGTAACTTTAAAAATTTTTAAATGTTACATTTTTGAATATTGAAATAATATCAAAATATTTGTAAATAATTTTTAATAACAAAAACTATTCACATCCAACAACATGTACATGAGGATGATCGACAGCACTAAGATCCTCCTCCTGGCTCTGATTGGTTGTTTCTGACCGAGTGGTTCACTTTTGCAGATAACCATAGCAACACTGGGAGGTTCGGATTTCACAGATTTCCTGTAAATATTAACCGTTAACATCATTAAAGTAATGGTTGTTTTGATGTATCAACAATCTAAGAAGCCAAAACTTTTTTTTAAATCCGAGAGAGACCAATATGTTTCCCAACCACCAGATGTCGCTGTTTCATCCCCTTTTTATAGAAATGGTTCTCCAGTGTGTCACTGTACAAGCAATGTTTGGCTAAACAACAAAGCCCTGAGGTGTGACAACATCCAAGCTTTACCAAACACATAAAGCAGGATTTTTGAAAGAATTAAGTCAATAAATACAAATAAATAATGCAAAGATAAACTCTGGCCGTTTATGTTATGGTTCATTCAAAGTTTGTCATTTTACTTTTCCGTACAATCTAAAAGTTCACATGGTTATTTATAAATTGATCTCCATAACACAGTGAACACAACAAACTTTATTTGTGACATTCTGGACGACAGACATGCATTTTGTCTGTAGGATCCTTTTCATTTGAATCAGCAAAACCCAAACATGATTCACTGAAACTCAATGAAGTTTCCTCTGCAAACATGCTTCTTCCTCCTTCAACAAACAGAAAGTAATGGTTGTTTTGATGTATCAACAATGTTTAGCCAAACATTTCTGTTCCGATCTCTGTCAAACCAGTTCGTCCAGAAGCTTCTAATTATCAAAACAAGACCGGGAGTCCAGGTGATTCTCCTGGCCATTTTTTCTTTAATTAGTCATGACTAGTAAGAAAGCAATATACAATATATTCATTCACATTTCGCCAGCCTATTGAAAAATAAATTGGCAATACATTTTTTGCTATACGTTTAAATAAAATAAAAATATGACCACAATTAAATGCTTTGATGAAAAGTATTTACAGAAACTTCTGTTGTGTGAGAGGCAGAACATTTATTTCCACACGTTTAAGTTTATAAAGTAATAAAAACGAATCAAACAGTCATTCAAATTGCTATGTATTTGAAAAATAAGGTAAAAAAATAAATAACCCAAAAACCTGAGATAAAATATTTATTAAGTGCATTTAAACACTAAAAAACAGTTGATGCATTGTAATATCTCACATTAACATGGCAAGTTAAAACCAACAATTCAAGTTAAGCAAGTTCATTCATCACAAGTTGGACATACTTCACTTGTTTTACTTGTGACAATCAGTTCAAGCACATTTAAAATGTTACATTTTATTTTTGTCTCCTTCATTTTGACAAAAGTCCTGACTAATAAGAAAGTAATATTCAATATATTCGTTCACATTTTGCTAATATATTGAAAAAATAAATTGTAAACACAACAAATAATGGTATCTAAATCAAACATTATCATCTATAAAACATGGAACTACTAAGTAACTGCAAACTAAATGCAAACTAAAGTCTTCCTTCTTCTGCTGCTCCTATTACAGGTATGTTGTTGCAGGGTTTGCTGCTGCGTCTTCATTTTCACTGGCAGCTGATAAAGTTTCATCTAGTTCAGCTCGTTTCAACTGGGACTTTGTTGATGGTGCGTCGCTGTGTTCGGACTTTCTCGACTCGGGCCTTTTCATCTGAGACTTTGTCGATGGAGCCCAGGATCTCTCTGAATCCTCTCTCATGTTCTGCTGGGATTCAACATCATATCCCTTCTGAGGATAGGCGGTTGGCGCCCCAAAGCTTTGGGGCCAAGGCGACATGGGTTTGGTGGGTTGACCCAGCGCCGTTGGCACCCTGGTGAGATGGGAGCCAGCGCGGGAGGATCCATTAGAGGATCGGACCACCACGTAGCGAACTGAGGGGCTCTTGTCCGTGTCGTGGGCTTTGCCTGGGCAAGAGGACTTCATGAACAGGCCCCCTCCCAGAATGAGCAGAAACGCTGCCCCCCAGCCAATGTAGAGGCAAGCTCCCAGCTCCCTCTTCTGAGCGTCTATGGCTGTGCTGTAGAAGTTCTTCATCACCGTCCCGGCCGCCCACACCGTAGGGATCAAACAGAGCAGCCCTGTGATCATCAGCACCACCCCTGCTGCTATGGCCACTTTCTCCTTCACACCACTTCCTTTTCCATCCAAGAAGCGGGTGCATTTTCCTCCCACAAAGGCCAGGAGGAGGCCAAAGCTGCCTGTAACGATGGCGAGGATCATGAGCGCCCTGGCGGCCTGCCTGTCTGTGCTGAGAGCCAGCTGGGACTCGTAGGGTTTGCACTGCATAATTCCTGTGCTTTCAACCACACAAGTCATCCAGATGCCCTCCCAGATAATCTGAGAGGTCACAATGGAGCTGCCCACAAAGGCGGTCACACTCCACATAGGCAGCACACAGCTGACGAAGACCCCAACCCAGCCCAGGAGGCACAGAGCGCTGGCCAGCAGCTGCATCCCCATTGAGGCCATGATGAGAAGATCTCTGAAGCTGCTGGAAAAAAATCCTCTCAGACCTTTAAGAAGAGCCTGTCTTGATCCTTGCCTTCAGTGTCGCACTCTCTCGATCTTTGATTAGTCTTCTCTGCTGTCTTTGTCAGTCCTTAACATGTGCTGCCTCTTTCACATGCCTTCCCCTCTAACCATGAACTTCTCTGGAGGGTAGACTGCTGACGGTTTAGCTTCCTCTGGTATCGTTTTGTGAAGTTATAGGTGTGTCTTAGTTCAGCTGTACTTCATTTGTTTACATGATATTTCCATCTGTCAGTGTCCCTCCCCTTTTTGTGTCCTCCTCCTTCTCAACATGTCCCTCCACCTGAGCGACTGCTTTCTCTCCTGAGCGTCGCTCGCTCTGCTACTGGTCAGGCGTACATGTCCCACACCTTTTCTACAGGGGAAAGAAGGAGGAGGGTGACAGAAAGAAGTGACATAATGCAGCCCTGCTCCCATTGTCTCCCTTGAATTAGGTTGTTCAGGTGAAACTAATTGTCATTTTAGCTATAGATGAACAAAATTGAGATTGAGAGCCATTTAAGAGCATTGGTCTTGCTTTGGTAAAATGGTCTCACATTTTACCAAACATCTTATTTATTATGATGCACATCATATTTGTGCTGAATAACCAAGAAGAAAAAGCCCTAAACTATCGGGGATTCAGAGTAGCTGTGTAAATAATGTTTTCTAGAAGAGCACAAGTGAAATGCCGACTTGAGTTTCCTGGAACAAAACCAGCTTAACTGGAGCAGGATCGACTGAGGAGAAAAACCAGTTTAAAACATGCAAACACCTTTCCACCCTCACACACACACACACACGCACACACACACACACACACACACACACACACATGCACACACACACACACACACACACACACAAAACAACATAAAATGTTTTAATTCATCCTGAAATGATGTTTATTCCTTTTATCTTTTGAATGCTGTCAGTGATAGCTTTTATTTTTATTTCTTGATTAGTCTTCATATGTAATTCATTTGTAAATTTCCTTTGTTTCTCTCTTATCATATTTCCTCGTTTGGTGTTGCCATTGCCAACAGCTTTGAGTGGTTTTCCTCAATCATGTCTGGATGGTTTCGGCTTAAATTTCCCATGCTTTAAATAGACTGTAGCGACAGAAACTCAGTACTTTACACAAGATCTTTGTGAGTTTTGTAGAAAATCAAGCTGGATTTTGTGACAAGGGAAAGATAAATAAGGCATAATGGAATTAAACCTAAAATAAAGGCCAAGTTTTTGTAACATCTGAAAAAGTATCTTGAGAGTCAGTTTTCTAAAAAAATATGAACGATGATGCAAAAAATTTTGTTTTGCATGAGTTAAATAACTGATTAACAATTGATAGCAGGTACAGTAGGTATTAATCATGTCTATCTTTTATTCTAAATTCATAGAATAAAAGAACGACGTTCATTTTACTCAAACTTAAAATCAGAGAAAACTGATAATTTAAGTGGTCTTTTAATTTTTTTTCCAGAGCTCTATTTACATATACACACACAAATAAACCATTAAAGTACATTGTGCTCCCAAAAATATAAAATGTGCTTTCAAAACCTAAAAAGTTTAAAGATGTTAAGCTCAGGAATGGCTGCAGGGATGAAAGAAAAGCACAAAAAATTTAAAATCCTTTCTTATATGAATCTTTCAGGTCATGTCAGGTCACTCCGGTCTGGAGTGACCATGGAGAAGAACAACCTTCCAGAAGACTGCAAAGATCCTGACATTTTTTTTAAAATCAATGTTAAAAACCCCTCTGTTTAGAGTTGTCTTTGTCAGTATTAATACTAACTGAAATCATTCATTTTAGTTTCTAGTCCAACTCTTCTTTACTGCTTTTAATGGGGAATTTTTACCACATAGAAAATGTGTTTTAATTAGAGGGAGCAAATTTTCTGTTTAACAGGTTTTTACATGTCTTCATAGAATATAATAGAGCAGAATATCATAGAGATTTTCTGCAAGATGTCCTTTATTGTCCCTAAATGAGGACAT